GAGGTGTGGTGCGAAGGTGGGTAGGGAGGGAGGGAGGGAGGGGGGTAGGGGCCTTTCCGCGGCCTGGACGACGGGACCAGGTCCAGAACTCCCTCTCTCAGGTTTTGTCCTTTATTTCCAGGTTCTGCCCTTCGGCTCCGTCCTGCGCCCTCCACAGCTGCGCCCCAGGTGGGGGGAGGTGAATCCCTTCTGCTCCCAGTGGCGGAGGGCCTAAAGGAAGGGAGGGGATGAGAACCTAGAGGGGCTGGTGGCAGTGGTGCTTGAAACCCCCTTGGTGCTGTGCATGCGCCATGCTTAGAAGTGGGGGGAGAGAGTTGGGGAGCCTGTACAGGACCTGCGAGTTTCCCTTGCTCTGTAATTACAGTGCATCAGAGCAGACTTGATTAATCAGGTCTGCCGAGGTGGTAACTACTCTACTCCAGCAGACTCTATCATCTAGCCCAGGGGTGGGCAGTTATTTTGGGCAGAGGGCCGCTTACTGAGTTTTGGCAAGCCATCCCTGAACGAGTTAAAGTGCTTCCTGGCACCATTTTTCAGTGCAGGGACACTGACGCACAAGACGCTCCAGGCACTTTAATTAGAGCGGCTCTTAGAGACAGTCTAACTAAAGTGCCCCTCTCCCCTCCCAGAGAATGTGTATAAATGCACTTTGGGTGTCTGTAGATGTGTCGGGAGGCTGCTCTGAAGCACTGAAATAACAGCGTGTTGGAGCAGACTTGATGAATCAAGTCTGCGTGCTCCAGCCACTCTGTGTCGCATGTATCAGTGTGCCTATACTTCAAAATGAGCAGGGTTCATTTAGCAATTTTTCGTTAAAGTGCCCTGCTGTCATTTTGAAGGTGGTGCATGAAACACTGAGGGGGCTTTAATTAGAGTAGCCCTCAGAGCTGCTTCATTTAAAGCACCTACCCCCAGAGCATGTGTAAAAATGCCCCCTGTTAATCTGTAGGAGATGTACGAACTTGGAGCTAGGTTAAAATAGGGGATGAGGAAACGTATGCTTTCAGTTACAAGATACACCTTCTATGAGTTTCTCATAAGATTAAGTGGGATGAGAAGTTACTCTATGAACAAACAAAAAAAAAAAAGTCACTGATGTCATTTGCACCACAAGCAGCCTAACTCAAGAGGATGAGCCAAGCTAAAACGTTTATTTCCAGTTATCACTTATTACTGAAATTACTTCCCCAAGGGTTCATGGCATAGGCTTCCTAGTCAACTATGGTTCAAGGGAGATGAACATACACTACAATCCGCAAGCAAAGCTCTCATAAAAAATATGGTATTTTTAACTGGTGGACAGAACATATCTTCCAACCTGGAGCTATCCAGTCAGATTTTAGGCCACAAAGCAACTATGCCTCCAACTCTTTATTTTAGAAGGCAGAACTTGTTCTGTTCAAAGTAGTGGTTTTAGTCTGATCCACAACAGGCTCCAAGGCATTATGCCAAATAATTATTTTATATTTTTGCACGTGGTGCTCCACAGAGGTGCAGAAAATAGGATAATCTTGTGAGAGCAATTTGGGATGTGGCTGACACTGACTCCAGCACTCTTAAAATAGCATCATTAGACTAGGGAGGGAAACATGGAAAGTACAGAACAGGCTTTTAAATTCCAGCTTTTTTAGAGGAAGAATCCTTAAGCAGTTGACACTGGTAATTCTGTTTTCTCTTTCCTTGTATTTTGGCAAGCTTTACTGATTTCTGAAAATCTTACTAATACCAAGAGAGAGAGATATGAACATAGACCACTTAACTTGATTTACAATCTATGTTGTAGTTTAGGTTTTGTTTTTTGGGGGGGTTTTTTGATTTTTTTAAAAATATTTGATATTAATGTAATTTTTGGCTTAAGCTTAACATCAGTTCAACTTAGTAGCAACATAATTTTTAATTTCTGAGAGTTAATCAAAGGGGTAATTAATCTTTAGATTTTCAAAAGCAATCTTGGCTGAACTGTTGTACTACAGAAATCAAGTTTTAATTGTTTTCGGTGAGAGCAGAGCTAAACCAACACTGAGCACTCTTAAAACAAAGGCATGAAGAGTATTTATTGGAGTTTCTCCAGTAAATTTGAAAATAATCACAAAGCTAATAATTTTGCAAATTCTTGCTGTTTATAAAATATTAATAATGACCTTTTTTGTACTCCTGCAGGTCTGGGTTATGCTGATGTAGAAAATCGTGTGACCTGTAAACCAGAGACAGTCATGCGAATTGCTAGCATTAGCAAGTGTCTAACAATGGCAGCTGTTGCTAAATTGTGGGAAGAAGGAAAACTGGATTTGGATGCTCCAGTGCAAAAATATGTTCCTGAATTTCCAGAAAAAGTATATGAAGGTGAAAAGGTAATTAAGACATTTGTTCTATAGCCTTTGTTTGCCTACATTACATGTCTGTCTGGTCCCTTTGTTTCCCACCCACATTCATACACAAGTATACACAATCATTTATTTGTATAGTACTCCAGAAGCCCTTTAAAGAAATAAAGGTAGGTAGTGATGCAAACTGCTTGAAAAAGGAACACTGGACTTTTGGCTCTTCGGAGTAGCATTAACTTTCTAAAGTTGGATTTCGTGTAGATCCTTGCCTGTTTTCCTCTGAGTATGTAATGTTAAATGAAGCAATTTATCATACCAAGTGTCTTTTCTCCTAGGTCACCATCACTACAAGATTGTTAGCTTCACATTTAAGTGGAATCCGTCACTATGAAAAAGATCTTGCAAAAGTAAAGGAAGAGAAGGAAAAAAGTAACAAAGCCCTTAAGCTAACACAAGATTTAACAAAGTCTAACCAGGAGAAGGAACTAAAAGAAAAACAAAATAAAGCCACTGAAAAAACTGACTTTGCCAAAGTTAAGTCAGAACCTGAAGGTGAAGTCAAAGGCCAAAATACAAAATTAGGCAAGAGACACAAGGAATTTGAGTATGAAGAGTACTACTTGAAGGAAAAATTTGAAAGTGTGATTGACTCACTGAAGATATTTAAAAATGATCCTCTGTTCTTTAAGCCAGGTGAGTTTCTATTCTTTCTGATAAGAATGTCTTTTTCTAGGTTTTTGGATTGCAGTGCATGTAATGCAAGATAGGTTCATTCTCAGTGGAGATGACTTTTCTTGGTATTGATTGAATCCATTTTGTCCTAGTTATGTGGCTGTTTCAGATATCCCTGCAAAGGATTAAAAAAAGACGGAATATAATCTGCACCTAGAGTGTTTATACACTAGCTTGCATTAGTGTAGTTTCTTTTCGTAAATCTATTAAAATAAGTTATGCCAATATTTTTAACTAGTATAACTGCATTCATCTAACCTGATATTGTTAAAATAGATTTTAAAAACCATATACAGGCATATGCTGTAAGTAGGAATATAATGGGACCATGATATTTTTGCCATACCACTGTAACACATGCATTTAATGGTCTTTCATTGAATTGCGACATGGGAAGCCCAAAAGATTGGTAAAACTTTCTTTCTTTAAGTGTTAAATTTTTCTTACCTAATTTGTTTCTTTATGTATGGCTGACCTGTCTCCTTTCACTGCAACGTTAGTCTTTTATTATTTTCAATGAGAGCAGGCAGTGAAATGAATTAGTTAATCAATGGGTCAAAAAACGGAGTAGTAGGCAGAATACAAAGGTAGATTAAATTAGTGATTTTTAATGTGACAAAAATTACAGCAGAAGGTCTCATATGTTGCACTAGGTCTCATGTGGCCTTAATAATTAATGTACTGGAAAGGTGAAAGAGTTGAGTAGGAAAGTGGTAGAATCTGTAAATGATAAATTATTTAGATTAGGTGGGGCCAAAGGGGACTGAAGAATGTCAGAGACTGAAGTTAAGTAAATCAGGAACACAATAGAAACTGTGATTCAGTGATGCTAAGTAAGGTGTATTGGAAAAGGTGGAGAATTAGAACGAGAAACCTATGTTTTCCTTGGGTAAAGGGGGAAATCCACTTTTTTTTCTCTGTTTTCCTGTATTTGAACTATTATGGTTATAAAAGAAAAGAGGTCTGCTTAATTGCATGAGAAGATGATGTTAAATTTGCATGTAGTGTTTGGATGCAAGGGAGTTCTTTAAATTCTGTGCATGTTTCCTATTCCAGTATGGAGAAACCAGTATTATGATAATCTAAAACACAGTAAGTTGTGTGTTGCATGGCATTTCTGACAGTTGTACAAAAGTTTCTGTGGAAGAGCTTATGTCCATGAGCTTATGTCTTCTTGGGAAAAAGATTACTAAAGGAAACATTAAACCTGAGTTCAAGCTTTTTGCAAAAGAACCCTGTACAAAACCCCCTCTCTTTCATCTCCTCAAGGTAGCCAGTTCTTATATTCAACACATGGCTTTACCCTCCTGAGTGCTGTTGTGGAAAGAGCTTCAGGACATAAATTTACAGACTACATGCTGAAAATATTTCGTGAGTTGGATATGCAGTCGACAGTACTGGATGACAATGAACTGATGATATATAATAGAGCAAGGTACATAAGAATGAAATTATATGTTGTATTCATGGCTGGTGCTCACTTGTGTATTTGTTTATCCATTAGAGCAGGGATTGTCAACTAGGGGTACACATACCCCCGGGGGTACTTGAAAAGAGGCTAGGGGGTATGTGCAGGCAGATGGGGATGGAGCACCGCCACCCACCATGCTGTGCCACTGCCTCCCAGGAACAGGGGTGGATGTGGGGGGGGAAGAGGAAGCTTGCATATGGTGGCTGCTGCCACCATCTACCACCCTGAACACCATGTGCAAGCAACCCCCCCCTGCTCTGCGTCCAGCCACTGCCTTTCCCCTGGTCCACCAGAAGTGTACCCAGAAGGGGTACACTCCTTTAAAAAAGGTTTAAAAACCCTGCTTTAGAGTTAGTAGTGATAGACACTTTTATTAAAAAAAACCAAAAAAACAAACATATAATTTAATGAAATTTGATTCTGTGGTTATATATTTTTTTAATCTATCAGAGTTCTAATGCTTGTTTCTTATTGTGAGGGTATACATCTCAAGGAGGAAATGGTGGTATGAACATTTTGGCCATTGTAATTACAGATATGTGGGTAAGAAGAAAATAGAGGGACCTGATATTATAGCTGCACACATACTTGAACGAGAAGAGAGACCATTGTTATCAGTGTTTAATAATTCATTTTCATTTTAAGAAAATCTCTGGTATTAGATGTCAGATCTTTTTTATTCTTCCTAACTTGTATGTTCTCTAAAGGCTTAACTGCATATTATTAAAAATAATTTACGTTTCTTTATATGAGCAATCAGTTTTATGAAGAATAGTTGTAACCAAAACAACTTTATTTCTCTTGGTGTACTACCAATTCCTTAATTTTTATAAGTTATAGCACTTCTTTTTGCAGAATCTTTGAAAACAATATTGCTTAAAAGAGAGAGAGACAATCTTTACCTAAAACTGCAGATTTTTTAAAAATTATAAGCCATGTAGGAACCAAAACCGCTAAACTTTAAAATAGTTTCAAAAGGTTTTCATAGATTAAACAGTTACCATTCTATAATGTCCATATGGATTTATAAATTAGATTCTTTAAATGTCAATGACAGCACCAAAACACTTCTTATAAGTACTTGTGTTAAACTTTTAAGAGTTTGCCATTTTGGCAGCTTTGAAGAGTTTAAACTTCTTTGAACAACACTTGTGAGTGTCCATGTCTAATGCTAGAGTTGTTCTTGCTGTTTTCCTTCCTAGTCTTATTTTATAGAGTAACATAGCCACAAACAGCATCTGAAAATTCTGAACCTGAGGCTTGTTGACTTGGCTATTAAATCTTGGCACAGAAAGAGGATTCTAACTGATCTCATAAGCAGATTATGGAAAAACCACATAATGATCTGGGTTTGGTATGGTAATGTTTAGACTGGGGGGAAAAAAAAACCTTGCACTTTTATTTAAAAAAAATTCTAAGCTAACTTTTGTACTCTAAAGCGACAAAAATAGTACTGTACAAAAAGATTGAATTAATCTGCTAATACTTGTGCTCAGAAATGCATACATTGAATATATATGCACATGTTACAATTTGTTGGTACTATTCATTCACACATTAATATTTAGATTTTTGTTTTGAGATGTAAATTTTTTAGTTCCTTTCCAACTGTCCGTTACAGGATATTGCAGACTGTGGTAAAAGAATACAGATGATAACCACAATTGCATCGCAGTGTATAGCCGGTAGCAAGTGGAGTTTTGCCTGATTCAATGTCTTATATTCTTTTTCTGGTATATTTAATTCCTTTGACAGGAAAAAAATCTGTCTTGTTAAAATCTCAGGTTATCTATCTGGGAAACCTACTTACTTCCCTTTAGTAACTTCAGTCCGGTCATAGGGCACAGCAGAAAGTAAAACACTTGCTCTAAAAGATGTGGTAATCTAAAGTTCTGTATGGTAGAAACAACTAGGAGCAGCAGCTCTTAGAGTTTGTCGTTTATGAATGTTGTCATCATGTGCCTTGCAATCCTTATGGACTTATTGCTGCAAGTAGTTGGACAACTCTTACTGATCTCTGATTGTTGTTAGAGTGTTCAGCCATGGGGTCAGACCTTTAGTTTGTTAAGGTGTTTTTGGGGTTGTCAGTGATAAGGTTTCAACGAACAGTGTACCTGTCCCATGTTGCAGGGAGAGTTAAGGTGTATGCAAGGTGACCATCTCTTCCTTTTCACCTACTAATTTGACATGTTCTGAGACTATATCGTAGTATTACTTGCCTTAATACAAGTATGTTCTTACTAAAATTAGTCTTGCCAAAATTTAAGGTAACATGGGGATATGTTTCACATTAGTAAAATAAAAGAAGGAAAAGATTCAAATTGCTTGTCTAAAACAGTTTGTTAACGCCTTTTAGAGAGAGAGAGCAGACCTTGGAGAGGCAGCAAAAAATAAAGAATGTTTGAATTGAATACAGAGGGATTGTTTAACATATGTTTGCAGTATAAATATTTTATTGCTCAGTTAAGTTAATGTTTGAGTGATTTTTGGATGCTTGTTGCACTCCTGTATTTTTGTGGTGGGACATCTCAATACAATGTTCTAGTGACTTAATGTTCCTTTTATAAGTCATCCAGACCATTGCGGATGAAAAAATCTGACTAGTTTAAAGAAAAATAGCTTCATGCTTGTGTCATGGCAGGTAAAGTCTTCAGCCTATGTGTTTCTTTGTGTGCTTAGATTCATAGATTCTAGGGTCGGAAGGGACCTCAATAGATCATCGAGTCTGACCCCCTGCGTAGGCAGGAATGACTGCTGGGTTCAGATGACCCCAGCTAGATGCATATCTAACCTCCTCTTGAAGACCCCCAGGGTAGGGGAGAGCATCACCTCCCTTGGGAGCCCATTCCAGACCTTGGCCACTCGAACTGTGAAGAAGTTCTTCCTAATGTCCCGTCTAAATCTGCTCTCTGCTAGCTTATGGCCATTATTTCTTGTAACTCCCAGGGGCGCCTTGGTGAATAAATCCTCACCAATTCCCTTCTGTGCCCCCGTGATGAACTTATAGGCAGCCACAAGGTCACCTCTCAACCTTCTCTTGCGGAGGCTGAAGAGGTCCAGGTGCCCCAGTCTCTCCCCATAGGGCTT